TGTCTAATCATACTTATGTCACCATAAATGGCCTCTAGGAGTTGTCCAATAATACCCATTCTGACCACTTTGGCTAGCAGTTTGGTTACCCTGTAGCCAGGTACATAGGCATCTGCCTTGTCCTTTTAAAGGACTGGAATTCTTAAATTTCCACTTCTTCTTTGCTCAGTGTGTAGAGCTCACATTGCATCTTCCCAGCTGACTATGGCAGCTCCACACTGCAAATGTTCTCCCTCTTGAAGTATACTGGAGTTGCTAGATCTGCTGCATTTGTAGGAAGAGGAGGCTGTGCTGGCCGAGCTCTGCTCCAGCCATAGAACTTTGATATTTACAGCAAGATTTCTTGTGGCATGTTGGAGAAGAGCCATGAACAAGACATGTACCAGTGCCATGTGAAAGTTAAGGAGCTGAGGCAGACTTAACAGAGGCAAGCGAAGCAGACTGTCGCTTTGGTGCTGCACTGAAGACCTGATGCTTCTGCAACAATGGTGAGCATCCTGCGGCCTGAAGACCACTAGTGGCCCACAGATCTCCCTGTCTCTCCCATGTGCCCTTCTCCCCATGTGCCTCTTGCAAACTGGAGCACTGCAGCCCCGCACTTCCTATTCCTCTCCCAGGCTACGTCTACACTGGCCCCTTTTCCGGAAGGGGCATGTTAATTTCACCTATCGTAGTAGGGAAATCCGCGGGGGATTTAAATATCCCCCGCGGCATTTAAATAAAAATGTCCGCCGCTTTTTTCCGGCTTTTAAAAAAGCCGGAAAAGAGCGTCTACACTGGCCCCGATCCTCCGGAAAAAGCGCCCTTTTCCGGAGGCTCTTATTCCTACTTCAAAGGCGCTTTTTCCGGAGGATCGAGGCCAGTCTAGACGCTCTTTTCCCGCCTTTTTTAAAGCCGGCAAAAAGCCAATAAGAGCCTCCGGAAAAGGGCGCTTTTTCCGGAGGATCGGGGCCAGTCTAGACGCTCTTTTCCGGCTTTTTTAAAAGCCGGAAAAAAGCGGCGGACATTTTTATTTAAATGCCGCGGGGGATATTTAAATCCCCCGCGGATTTCCCTACTACGATAGGTGAAATTAACATGCCCTTTCCGGAAAAGGGGCCAATGTAGACGAGCCCCCAGTGTTTTGGAGTGCCACAAATCGCCTGATTTGCACTCCATCCCTTCACTTCACCCTCTCCCCTCCCAGAGCAGAACAGCAGATTTTCAGCATTCCAGCTCTGGGAGGGAAGGGAGTGTGGACAGCACATGAATCCGGTGGTTTGTGGCACGCTGAAAGTGCTGGGAGGGAGGGAGAAGAGTGTGGGGCTCCTGTGCCTAAGTGTGCAAGAGGCACATAGGTATGGGGGGCAGACAGGGATCCATGGGACTGCAGTGGGCCATGGGTTGCTGCGGCCCACTCAAAGGGCCATTCATGTGGCCCACTTGGTTGCCCTTTGCTATTCTACAAGGAACTGGATGCCATCCTGTGTGGTGACACAACCACCACCACCACCATCAAGAGCCCTCTGAATATTTTGGGATAGACCGTGGCCAGTGGATTCAACCCTGAGGATGAAGTGGTGGACAAGGAAGTGGAGTTGGAGAATGAGTTGAGACAGGTGATGGGGTCATCTGCAGTGTTTCCATTTTGCATAGCTGGAGTTGCGCACCTTATGCCCACCATCTAGGTCCTGTATAGACCTGGCCTCCTGAGTGGCTGCACAGTTTATAGGGAACACTGGTTGTCTGGTAGTGTGGCAAGCCAGGATCTCCTCTGCACTCCACAGAGTTCAAGCCAATTCCAGTCCTAGCATGCCAGTTCTGGGGCTGGTGATGCAGCAGAGAGGAGCTTTGGTACATACTCATTTTTATTTGATACTACTTGGTTGCATGAGCTAGACCCGTCCTATGTTTCATTATTTGCTGTAAGTGGGTTAAGGAATAGAACTGTACAAGACTAGAAATATTTGCTTCTGCTTCCCATTTAGTCATGCATCTACACAGTGGGAACCCGTGAAAAAGTTTTTTAATACATACCAATATTTCACAGGAATCTTCCAGAGAAACCTCTAGGAAACTTTTCTAAAGGTACTTGTCAATCCTTTGCCAAAGGTTTCTTGGCAGAACTGTATGAAACGTGGTGCCAATCAGTAATCACTTGTGCAGGGACCAAAGCAGTGCACAGACAAGCAGCATGGGGACCCAGTCTGGAGTTGCACATGTTCAAGAGATGTACCCTTTCAGAGTAAAATATCAGCTTTAGTTTCCCTGGCCTATGGAAAATGATGACAGAATTTACAATAGTGACCCTAGTTGCTTGGAGTGATCCCCTTAAAAAAACATCTCGACCCTTGGCTCCATCTTAGACCTCCCTGTCTCCACCTCAGCTCAACTCACCAATTTTAGAGTTCTTGCCAAGCTATATGCTTACTAGTGGAAAGTGAGAAAGAGGTGTACTTAACTCTGGCTACGTCTAGATAACGATCCTCTTCCACAAGAGGAAATGGAGCGCTCATTTGCATATGTCGTACTCTCATTTGCATTTCCTCCTCAGATCCCTTTTGTGCAAGAGGGTTTTTGGCAAAAAAGTACTGTGTAGATGGCTACTTTTTACGTGCGCGCATGCGCGCACACTTTTTTTTGAGCAACTCCCCCCCCCCTCATTTGAGGAAGAACAGCTTTTGCGCAAAAAAGAGCCCTCTACACAGTGCTTTTTTGTGCAAAAGCCTCTTGAGCAAAAGGGATCCAAGGAGGAAATGCAAATGACATATGCAAATGAGCGCTCCATTTGCATTTCCTTTTGCGGAAGAGGATCATAGTCTAGACATAGCCTCTTACAATTCAGTGCTGTGGGTGTACAATCAATACTGCCTTTGTTTCTTATGCCTCTACAGATGTATCCTTGGGAGGCATTCCATATGTACCAGTAGAGTGCCTCCATTAAACAAGGAGGCAACCCAGGAGGAGTAGGGAGGACACAGTTTAGGGAAGTGCTCCAATCCTCTGATGCCACAGATCATGATCGCAGGTCATAGAGAGAGACAATTAACAAAACAAAATTCAAATAGATAGCCTGGAGAGGAAGCAAGACCAGGAGTGTATTTTAGAGGGACAGAAGCAGTGGATGGAAACAAAAATGCCGAAGTTCCTAATTATACTGCAATCAAAACATGTTTGCCTTCCTCTACAGTTTATATAGAACTGTATGCCATGCCATCCTAAAATTCCCTAGACAAGATCTCTCTCTTGAGTATTTGTAACTAAACTAGTCCCTATCATTTTGTATGTATAGTTGGGATTATTTTTTTCCAATGTGCATTACTTTACATTTATCAACATTAAATGCCATTTGTCATTTTGTTGCCCAATCACTTAGTTTGGTGAGATCTTTGTGAAGCTCTTCACAGTCTGCTTTGATCCTAACTGTCTTGAGCAGTTTAGTACTGTCTGCAAACTTTGCCACCTCACTGCTTACCCCTTTCTCTAGATCATTTATAAATAAGTTGAATAGGATTGGTCCCAGGACAGACCCTTGGGGGACCCCACTAGTTACCTCTCTTCACTTGGAAAACTTAACATTTATTCATACCCTTGTTTCCTGTCTTTTAACCAGTTATCAGTCCATGAAAGGACCTTCCCTCTTATCCCATGACAACTTACTTTACTTTAGAGCCTTTGGTGAGGGACCTTATTAGAGGATTTCTGAAAATCTAAGTATACTATATCCACTGGATCCCCATTGTCCATATGTTTGTAGACCCCTTCAGAGAACTCTAGTAGATTAATAAGGCATGATTTCTCTTTGCAGAAACCATGTTGACTTTCCCCAACACATTATGTTCATCCTCTATGTGTCTTTACAGTTTTATTATTTCCTATAGTTTCAACTAATTTGCCCGATATTGATGTTAGACTTACTGGTCTGTAATTGCCAGGATCACCTCTAGAGCCCTTTTTAAATATTGGTGTCACGTTAACTGTCTTCCAGTCATTAGGTACAGAAGCTGATTTAAAGAATAGGTTACAAACCACAGTTAACTCAAATGTGAAAGTGAGGAACTATTATTTCAGAATTAACTGGAACATTTGCAGACTATAAATTGTGCTCAGGAAGCAATCACCCTAAGAGTTATTCTAAACAGCAAGTAAACAAAGCGTGGGTGAATGCATTACATAAAGATACATTACCTGGAGCTTCCTTGTCAAAGTGCTCTACATAAGCCTCCCTGATTCAAATAGCCCACTTTTGAGCTCCTCTAATAGCTTTGGTATCTGGCTGTTCCAAATGAGCTGTCAGCCCATCCGTCTCAATGCTTTGTGTTTCCTAGAGAAACTTTTTCTCCCTTAGCATTACAAACATTAGGTAGAGTACAGCACTCTGCTTATGACCATGGGAATATTTTCCTAATTTAAGTCTAACTTGCCATAAAGGCAGTACCAGCAAGCCTTTAATGGTGGGTTGACATTTTACAGGTGCTGTAGAAAAAAATCTATGAAACAGAAACCCATAGGATGATGGGACAGAAAAAAATTCCTTCATGGGATGGTGAGCTCATATCCATGATGCCTCTATTCCCCATTCCCATAATGCCTAGCAGCAAAAGGTGGCAGTTATCCCACTGTGCGACTATCCACAATGCACTGCTCTCTCAGTGCTAGAGCACCGACTGAATGCACTCTGCCACACACAAAGAGTGTTGTATGAACATGCACAGGCAATGTGATTTTAGCGGTTTATAATTATTGACAGAAATTATGTCAACTTAACTGTGTAGTGTAGACTTAGCCTTTCATTTTTTTCTGAATGTTTAATGTGGGCCATATGTGCATTGAAGTCATAGTATTGAAACTAATACTTCAAATGATTTTACAGAATAACTATTTACTGTAATACTTATGTGATCAGAACTGAATTTAGTTAATTACATTTGATACAAATTGAAATAACTTTAATGGATCATATTCACTACACGGTATAAGTAGGCTCAGTAATATTGCCTGATGTTTTTTCTCTGTTCCAGGTGGAGGTAGATTCAGTAATGGCCTCAGTGCAACAAAACAATTCAGGTAATATGCAAACAAGTCTTCCTTTTTTCTCTAGTCCTTTTAAAAGAACCTGCTACAAATTAATTGCAAAGAGATTTACACAAACTGTGAATGAATCAGAAATATTTAGTTGCTAGAATCTTGGGACACCAATATTGAAAATTAGCTTTTAGGCTTGTCTTTGGTGTAAGGCTGGCAGTTACCCAGGGAAAAATAATTTAAAGATTAAACTGGGAAAATAAAATTATTAGAATATACTAACCAAATTAACAGAAAAACATTTACCAGTTTGATGATAGTTTTATTACATATAATATTGAAAACTGAAATATGGTGACATGTATAATTTTCTTGGAAGGTATACCAAACCAAAGTGTATAGATATTATGATGTTCAGTATTATGTGTCATATATATTAGTATTGCCTTTACTGCAGTTGTACTTTTTATTTGTACAAGCTTAAATTAATTCCCAAATCTAGTGTCTTGTGTAACCACTATTTGAATGTGTAACTAAAGGTAAGGATAATATGGTGTGCATTAATGAAACAGATTTTAAAATAGAAAATGCCTAGAAATGGGACTAATTCATTTTTTTTCCCCTGAGTGGTGAAACACAGGATTTACTTGGTAAAAACCACTTCTGGTAAATACCATATTATCCGTATGTTGGTACAAATGTAGTTAATCAAAATTGAGGTTTTAATAGCAAGTTTTTACAGCCTAATTGAAATCTGTGTGTATGTGTATATAAAAAGTTTTTCCTGTGGGACGACAGAGTGACGGCATGTACCATTCTGCATTCTACAGCTCCTCTCTCCACCCTCATTCACATGGCCTCCCCCTCAGTGCTCTGGGGGATTATGAGCTATGTGGCCTCCCCACCTCGCCCCTTCTCTATCCTTCAGGGGGGAGCTGCGCAGGTCTGACAGCCTCAGCCAAGCACAACCCCCTGGTGGTTGGGGTGAGGAAAAACCAGGCCTGCCCCCTCTTGGCAGCTGGAGGGGGAAAGCTAGGCCCATCCCTCCCAGCGGCCCATGGTGGAGGGGGAGCTAGGCCTGATGCGGCTTGGCGCAGCCCATCCTAGTGGCTGGGTGAGGGAAAGCTTGGTCCAGAACGGCTTGGGCATGGCTCCTCCCAGAGGCTGGGGGGGAGGATAGTCCAGTCTGGCGCAGCTTTGGCCCACCCCCAGCAGCCAGGGGGGAGGGAATGCAAAGGGCTGGGAGGGGCAAGAGGCTGGGGGATAGGGCCCAAGAGCCAGGGCAGCCTTGATGTCGGGCCTTCCCTGGTGACTGGAAAGGGGAGGGGAGGGCAGAGAGCCAAGGCAGCCTCAGATCTTTCCCGGTGGTGAGGGGAGGGTGAGGAACCTTGGCCTGGTTCCTCCCAGTGGCTGGTGAAAGAGCCTGTCACGGCTTTGGCTTGGCCCCTCCCGGCAGCTGGGGGGAAAGCCAGGCCTGCTGTGGCTTGGTTCAGCGCTCCCAGCAGGTGAGTGGCAAAGAGCCAGGGCTGGCTAGAGAAACTTTGAGTCTGCAGCCCCTTAGTGGTCTATTAATTCTAAGTGTACTTTTTAACAAATAAAAGTGCATCTGCAGTATATGCTTCCCAAATACAGTGGCATTGTATTAGATCTGAGGCTCTCAAACTGTGGTCTGTGAGCTCCATTCACGTGGTCTGCAGATAGTTCCCTCTAAGGTGTGCACCTAAAACAGTGAAGGACCGCCCATCTAATTAGTGGAGACACTCAGGCATGGCTCTGCTAATTAGGTACTTGGACCCTCAAGAAGATATATATGGAAGGAGAGGTGGTGGCCTTGGGGGGGGAATAGGGAGTAGATGGGAATGGGCAGTGGAGTAAGGTGGGGGAAATAGGAGTGTAACGGGTTCCACCCTTCTTATGAGCGCCCCACAGAGTCCAAGAGGAGTCTAGTCATCTCTATCCAGCTGCCTGCAGGAGAGGAAGTGTCTGGTATGTGGCCTGGGACCACTGCAGCCTCACTGTAGCCCCTTACTTTGGGGCAAGCCACAGTCCATAAAGGCCACTCCTCAGTGTGGCTAGGTGAAGTGCAAGGGGGAAACCCAGTCCTTCCCACTACTGTGGGTCAAGGCCGAGGGATCATTTGGTAGGAAATTTGTCCTGTCCTCCTTGTCTTGTCCTCCTTCTCTCCTCCTTTACTGCCTCCTGTTCCCTGGGCCACTTCTCTTGGGATCCGCGCACCTCTCTGGCCTTTGCATCAAGGCCTGCATCCTGGCAGTTGCCTAGCTGGAGCCGTTCTCTCTCTTTCTAGCTCCCCTGAGCACTGCTTTTTCTAAGGTACTTCCCTGGGAACCAGTCCTGCACCCTCCCTGGTCAGGACCCATCAACCCTCTCCTAAAAGTATCCAGTTGAGACAGCACTTTATATTTTTACCTAGAAAGATGGGTTCTTGCATATTGATGTAGCTTTGTATTCTGTAGTTATTATCAGTAACAAGCCAGCACTAAGGGATCAATGAGTGGGTGGCACAATACTTTAGGGGTCATTCTATAAAAGGAAAATTGTTTGTACTATAATTTTTCAGTCATGTGTCATTTTGAAAGAGAAAATACATAAATAAATGGATTGCTTTTCTAAGGCTTCACGTCCATAGTTATCCAATTGAAAGGGATGTTGCTCAGGCAGGCAAGTAGAGTGTATTTCGGCATCCCTTATTATTAAAGAAATTGTGCATTAACACAACCTAGTAGTTGAAACCAGCATGTGTCTATAATTCTAGAAACTGAGAATGTAATGGCTTTTAATGTGGTGTTTTCAAGAAGCAGTAATGGAAAAACATGGGGACCTTGTGAGCTTGTAGTTTAAGATTTGAATTGACAGTATTCAACTAAGAGCTAAAGGAGCTATGCTTCTGAGCTATATTAGAAATAAATGGATATGGAAAAACTGTAAGAACAAAAATCACAGAGGTCTTGTGATGTTATTTGTTTTTTTTAAAGGTGACCAATACAGTGATACTGTTCTTGATAAATTATTTCAGTTATATAAAATAGTTCTAGGTCTGTTTATTTCACAGATATAAGGCAAAAGATTAGACTGTGTGTGAAGTCAGAGTTGAAATTACGTTTTTCTGTCTTGCCTTGTTCTATCTTTAAAAAATAGGGCATAAATTTTTCCTAAGATTATGTTTTTGCACAAGTACTTTGCTTTCAGAAATACCAGACAGTTAATTAGGGCTGGATTTAACAAACTGTATACGCATTCAAATCTGTTTTATTTAACTCTCACTAAAAAAATCAGATAAATGTACTTAGAAACAATTTTACACAATAGGTAAATGTAATAAGCAATCCAGTGTTACCATTCATAGGAAACCAAACCTGAGGCTTCAGAGCATTTTAGAGGGTTTGGAAAGTGCTGGGAATGATGCCAGCTATATTGTTTGTGCAATACACTCTAAGTCTTTATTTGTGGAATGCAAGAACTATTGACTTTGGAGAGACCATTACTTTGACCTGTTTTCCCATTGTAATGTAAGATTGCTTTGTAGCATGCAAATGAGAGAGAGCAGAAATATATTGCTGAATTTTGCAAATCTCTAGTAGAGTATTTTCACATAATATAACAATATGGAAGATAATTGTTTCAATTCTTGTTCTTACAATTACTAATCAGTTACAATTCTATTGCCTGAGTCATTCATAGTTGCAGAGGTCAATTAAAGCAGAGGGGTTTTTTGTTTTCCATTTTTCTAGGTGTATTACTCGAAGAATTTTTAAAACTTATGAGTGCAAAGAAGGCTGCACAACTGTACCATAGTGAAAAAAGGCAGATATTCACAGCTTTTGACATGCAATGTAAGTTTTTCTTTACTGCAGAGTTATTTAAGAGAGACTTCCACACTGAATCAAATATGCTGTAGAGCAGTGTTTCTTAAACTGTGTTCCGGGGAACACCGGTGTGCCGTGGAGAACAACAGAGTTCAAAATGGCTGCCTTTTTTTTCTCAATTATTTTATTTTCCCCCGATTTTCCTCTCCCCCAAAATCCTTGGTGTTCCTCATAAAAAAAATGTTTGGTGTTCCTCGGTCTTAAAAAGTTTAAGCAACACTGCAGTGGAGCCTTAATATAAAAGTGGACAGTATCCTAGATGCGGGTTTTCCAGCCCTACTTTCCTATGATTTTGTGTTTCCAAGTAAAGTAACTGATATAGTAACAGCATTACAAATAGATGATTAACAGAAGCCGGGACCGCAGACAGTTGAGAACAGCAGTAGAATCCCAAGTTGTCTGTTCCACTGCATGCTTTTCCAGTTTTGAAAAAAATATCTCTAGCGATGCACCTGTCCTGACCCCACTTACTGTTACCACTATCATATCTCCATCCTGATTTCTGTAACTCCCTCAGGATCGCCTTCTCCTAATATTTCCCTGCTTACTCAAGCACACAATTTACTCTGCTGATTCTTCTCCCAAGAGATGGGTGGGAATCTTTACTTCCCTGCCTGAAGGATGAAGGGGAAGAAACAAAGCAACAAGGATGTTCTCTGGCTTATTCTGGGACTCAGATTTAGAGGTTCTTTTCCTTTTCTGGTAGGCTGTGGGGACAGAATGTGATTCCTCTTCTCTTCTCTTCTCTTCTCTTCTCTTCTCTTCTCTCCCTCCATCCCTTTTTCTCCCAAAGAGGAAAGAAGCTTGAGTACAGGTCCACTGAACCAAGGACATGTAGAATTTATATTATCCTTTTCACATTATTTCCTCTCTCTCCCTTTTGCCTGAAACTTTGGTGTGGCACATGGTGAACATAGGTGGGCCAAGTGCTGGAATGAGTCAATCAAGGATCCTCTGCAGCTTGATCAGAACACACAAAACACCAAAATAGATTTTAAATGACAAGCTGCGACTTCATTAGCATGTAATATTGGAGAGGTGCATTATCTGCTCTGTATTTTCATATGAGGCCTGTTAGTAGGGTTTACAGCATATCTATTTTATAGCCCATAACTCAGGAGAGACTTTCATGTGCCTATCTCCAAGCTTACTCGGCCGAATCTTTGCACCTTTCCTTCAGCAAAGGGGACAGATGGAACCACAGGATGACTTGTGATCTCTCATTTTCCATAGACACAGAGTCCACTAGCAAAATCCCATGTTACTTACTTATTTTCTGATCTCTAATCCTTTGGCCTTTTTATCCAGCTTTGACACTGGTTGCAAGTTGTACTAAACTAATATACTGCTACTAAACTCTTGTACTCTAAGAGGAGTTTAGGTCATCTACAAGTCTCCTCCACTTTACTCTGCCTCAAGACAAAACTTCTAGCTGACCCCAGGGGTACCCCAGCTGTTGTCCTTCAGTCTCAGTAGATCTTCTCCACGTTATCCAAGGTCTTCCTCTTTTGTGTTTTCCTTGTGGGTTACACGTGAGAACTTGATGGACTATACTGGAAGGTAGTTTTCTGAGTGTGTGGCCTAGCCATCCCCACTTTCTTCTCTTGATTTGAACGTCAAGTGGTTCTTGTCCTGCTCTGTTCCAAAGCTCCTCATTTGTAACAAAGACTTGCCATTTGATGTAAAGGATGTACCTCAGGCATCTGTTTATGATTGTCTGTAGCTTGTGATTTAAAAACTTTTTAGTACACCAGTTCTCGTATCCATACAAGAACACGCTCTTTGCATTTGTGTTGAAGATCCACAGTTTCATCTTTGCAGGTATTATTTGTGAGCTACATATGGGACAAAGAGACTTGAATGCAGCTGTTGCTTTCCCTATCCTAGCATTGATATCCTTATCTGTTCCTCGTCTCTGCCCATAATACTCCCCAAGTAGGTGAACTGCTCCACATCTTCCAGATCATCCCCTCTCAGTGTGATGGTGATAGACTGATTGATCCTCATTGTCTTGGTCTTTCCCTTGTTGATGCTCAGTCCAATCATTGAGGCAGTTTTGTCTAGTGTTACAACCTTTTCTTCCATGCTTTCATGTTGGCGTGAAAGGAGGGCGACATCGTCAGCAAAATCAATGTCCTCTAGTTGTTTGAAAGGTGTCCACTGAATGTCCCATTGCTGGCCATCTGTTGTTCTGCTCATAATCCAGTCCATTTTGATCAAGAACAGGAAAGGTGGCAATAGGCACCCTTGTTGCACTCTGGACGGTATGCTGAAGGATTCTGTCAAGACACCATTGCGTACAACTTGGCATGTCAAGGGTTCGTACATTGAATGGATCAGGTCAATAATTTGAGATGGAATGCCACGATGTTGCAGCAGTTTCCACAAGGTGTCTCTATCAATGCTGTCAAAGGCTTTTTTGAAGTCGATGAAAGTTACAGACAGTGGGGAATTCCACTCAAGTGACTGTTCTATGATCACTCTGAGACTTGCTGTTTGATCAGTACAAGATCTCTTGCTTCAGAAGCTGGCCTGTTCTTCTCTGAGCTATCTATCAGTTTCTGTCTTCATTCTGTCCAAGAGAATCTTATTGAACACCTTTCCTGGAATAGACAGTAATGTGATGACCCTCCAATTCTTGCATTCCTTCAGGTTGCCTTTCTTTGAAAGCTTGATAAGGTAGCCATGTTTCCAGTCTTGTGGGATCTCTTCAGTGACCCAAATTTTCCCAAATAGATTATACGTCATATTGACTGATGTCTCACTATCTGCATTGATTGCTTCTGCGGGGATCTTGTCTGGACCAGGTGCTTTTCCACTTTTCAGATGGGCAATGGCTTTTCTGATTTCTTCCTTTGTAAGTCTGCTGCTGTTAATTTGCAGAGGTATATTTGCAGGTGGTAACTCCACAGGTTCTGTGTGGACAGGGTGATTCAGAAACTCCTCAAAATGTTCCTTCCATCTACTGAGCTGCTCACTTGGGTTTGTTAGCACATGCTCCTCCTTATCCTGTACTGGCTGATCCAGCTAGCTTCCGTGTGATGTCATACAGTTCTTTCAAGTTCCTCCGTCCTGCAGCTTGTTCTGCTTATTGTGCAAGGTTTTCCAAAAAGTTGTTCTTGTCCAGTTTTACAGCCTTTTTAACTTCTCTGTTGGCTTCCGAATACAGTCTCTGAGCTTCCACCTTGGCTGGTCTTGTTTTCCTGTTGTTAATTGCTGCTTTTCTGTCCTTTCGTTCTTTCACTTTTCTCAGAATTTCTGCTGTAATCCTTTCTTTGTTCTGCCTTGTCCTCTTTCCAAATATTTTTATCACAGATCTTTCCAGGCTGTTTTGGTGTATTCCCAAATTTGTTCCATGGTAGCATCTTCCAGAATAAGGTTTGACAGAAGTGCATATCTGTTGGACAGCTCCACTTGGAAACATGTTCTTGTCTCTAACTCCTTTAGCTGCTCCGTGTTGAATCTCAATCTCAGTTTAGTCACTTTTGTGGTGAACCTCTTGAGCTTGAACTTGAGTTTTATTGTGACCAGATGATGGTCTGAACCTATATCTGCTCCTTTTCTAGCATGGACGTCCTGCATCGATCTTCTGAAAGAACTGCTGATACATATATGATCAATCTGATTTTCTGACTGGTGATCTGGGGAAACCCAAGTGACCTTATGGATCCTTTTGTGTGGAAAAACACTACCACATATCACCAATCCGTTGAAGGAACAAAAGTCACTGAAGAGCTCTCCATTTTCATTCGTGTTACCTAGGCCTTCTTTTCCCATGATCTATTCTCTGCCTGTATTTATGCTTCCTATTTTTGTATTGAAGTCATCCATCAAAATCAAGATATCCTTCTTTGCTTTCTGGTTCACAACACATTGCAGTTTCTCATAGAGGTCTGTTTTACATTCCTCGGCTGCTTTGTTGGTTGGTGCATAGCTTTGCATAATCAATACCTTCTGCACTTTGTTATAGAATCTAGCTGTGATGATGCATGATGATACTGCTGTCTACTCCATTAAAGCTCCAGATGCCTCCCTTGATAACATCAAGCCCATGCCTTATGTGTGTGTTGTGCCCTCTTCTTCATGTCCTGAGTAGATGTGGGTTTCACCTGTTGCTGGGCGTAGCTGCCCAGATTGTGTCCATCTTGTCTCTCTCAAGCCCCAAACTGTAAGCTTATACTAATTAAACTAATATAAAGCAACCTGAAACATAATTACTGTACTGTAGAACTACAAGTAGGTTGCATAGGTTCATCTAAACATGCAAAAGTCTTTATAAACCATGGGCTAGGATTTCAGTAAATGATGGTGGGAACCAATGATCAGTTAGTTCTTGTCTCGTTAGATGGCCATTGAACAGTAGAAACAGGGGCCTACCCAGCCTACCCAGCCAGCTTGACAGCCACCACAGGCCCTGGGGCAAGGTGTGTGTGTGAGAGGCTGGCTCCACGCTCCCAGAAGGGGTGGGTCTGAAGGTGAAAGAGGCGGGGCCAAGAGCAGTCAGCTCTTAGCCCTGCGCAGATCGCGGCATGTTCCCCCTGTCCCTCAAAGACATAGAAATTCAAAGGGGCCTGGGTCTTGATAGTGGCCAGAAGCTCTGGCCACCAAAGCAATTATCCCGTTTGCCACCTCCTGTTGGCAGGCCTGACCCTACCCCTTTATATTTTCTACCTTTTATCCAAAGCTGTCAGGTATGTTGTGTATCCAATCAGGTTTCCCCTTTGTTAAATTAAGGGCTAGCATTCTTGCCCTGAACTGCTAGTAGCAGCTTCAAAAAGCTTTTTAAAGAGGCTTACGTGCTTAAGAAGCTACATCATTGCTCCTTTGTTTTGTATATTCTTTTCTGTCTTGCTCACTGTCTCTGTCCTCTCCATACGTACCCAATGACAACTCTGTTTGAATTGTCACTTTCTTGTTCTCTTGACTCCTGCAATGAAGTCACAGGCTTGGTCTGCACCTAAATGTTAAGGTAAATAGTGTGAAAAAACACATCTTTAAGCATTGTGACTATGGTGACTTAGCCCCAGTGTAGTTGCAGCTATGTGTTTTGAAGAATACTTCTGCCATCTTAGGTAGTATCACTCAGAGAAGTGTTCCTGTACTTTCTGGTGGTATAGACTGCATTTACACTACAGGGTTATGCTGCCATAGTTATAGCAACCTAGCTCAGTAGTGTAGACATTCCCATAATCATAGTTGATTAGTCTCTTTCGTGAATTTTGTTTTGCTATTATATGGACAGTTTCATTGCAAAATTCATCTAGAAGAGAAAATGAACGCTCATGGAAATCTTGTTTCAGTACAGCTCCATGCGTGGAATTTTGATAACAAATATGGGAAGAAACATTGTGAAACACACGTGAAAGGAAATTTCATGTATTTTAAAGTGTGTATTTGAAAAGCTTCTCTGGTACAAAAATTTACGAACGGAAAAATTTTAAAACGAATTCTTAAATATGAAACGGTACAGTATAGATGTTGCTGGTGTAATTCCTTTGAATTGAGTTCTTGGTAGCACACCAAAGTGACAGTATAGAATCATTCTTGAATCTCCTCATCTTTTGGAAACCCCATTGCCATACCCAATGTGGATCCCAGCCATTTTCTCAAATACTTTGGTTGAAATTATAACAACTTCAAAGAGTGTATTTTGATTCTGAAGATCTACTGGACATTCTTATAAATATTAATATATACATAATTAATGTTTGGCTCTTGAGCAAGCATAACTCTTCACAGTATTTTAATCTTATTTTCCCACTTCTTTAAACAAGATAAAGGATTTTTGACTTTGGAAGATTTCAAAAGAGCCTTCAATTCTGTTGCTCCAAAGTTACCTGAAAGGATGATAGTTGAAGCTTTCAGGTAAGACAAATATAAGTCTTGTTTGATTCTTGTTCTTTAATTTTCTCTTAATTCACATATGAATAAAATTCTGGAAACTGTAGATTAGGTTCCAGAGCCAAAGATACAAGCCTTTAGCACATTATTGTTTCAACATCCTTGCATGTATAACATATAGTATAAGAAAAAGGGATTTGTCTATTTATCTACTGATATTTTGAATAAATACTGCAGCAGTGATGGGCAACCTGGGCTAGTGAGTGGGCTATATGAGTTGTTCTCCTTCATCTCAGAGTAAGGATGTTAAATATCAACTAATTGAATAATCAAATAGTTGATGCATTTTTGCATTGATTATTTGATTAGTCGATAGAGTGATTCCACCTTTGAAGTGTAGCAACAGCCGTAGGGTGCCAGTTGATCCGGCGCTGCCACTTTGAAACGCGGTATGCAGCCTGATGCTGGGCTCCCTGCAGCATTTCAGAGTGGCAGTGCTGCATAAAGCCCAGGGTCAGTGGGGGAGTCCCCTGCTGATCCTGGACTCCATGCGGCGCTGCTGCTTTGAAACACCACGTGCAGCCTGGGAACACCCCAGATGGCCCCGGGCTGCATGCAGCGTTTCATAGCAGCAGCGCTGCATGGAGCCTGGGGTCTGGCTCCAGGCTTCAAGCGACATTGCTGCTTTTAAGTACCCCCTCTTCATCTCCTCCTTGCTGCCTCTTTCTGATAGAGGCAGCAAGTGAGGAGGGAAGCAACCAGTTAACTAGCATGTCAACTATCCGATAAGCAAATGCTTATCGGATAGTTTACTAGTCCTTCACATCCCTATCTCAGTGAGCTGTAACATTGTTGTAACCAAGGTGGTGGTCTAGAATAGGATAATTGTGCTAACTGTGCTTGCATACTTTCAATTTGCTGGGTATGCTGATTGAACCATAGCAGTGCTTTGATTAGATGCAGAGGGAGAACACAGTTCTCATAATCAGTGTTGTTTGCAATCCACAGTCCCAATGGGCTGCATGCAACCCACAAGCCGCAGAGGTTGCCCATCACTGCACTACAGGCACTGATAAAATATTACCAAGCATGAAAAACTAATACATTACATCCTACAATGCTTCTTCTAAGGTCTAAAAATATTCATTTTCCCAATTTAATGACTTGTTTGAAAAACTGGAACCTGATAGTTGTCTCCAGAAAACTGTGGAACTAACATGGTAGCGCACACACTCTCCTTTTGTACAAAAGAGGAGTTAATTGAAGTGGGCTGGAGCTGCTGCTAAGTCTGATCCCGTTTTATCTGAAGTGTTGTTTGTGTTTTAGCTGGAGCTGGCAGATGTGGTGATGTGGGAAGTTTTATATTGTAGGAGTGTTTTTCCCACTGTCCATTTCTGATGGATGAAGTTTGAGTGGTATATAAATTTTATTTTTATTTTTTTTAAATATTTAGCTATCAATTGCATAGTCACTGTCCCAAAGGTACATTCCAGTATTCAGGAAATACTGGTTTTATTTGAGCTAATATGGCGGCATATATATGCTTGGTTTCTAAAAAAGTTGTAATAGTTACTTACAATGTTACCACACTAACAGTATTCATTGTATTGAAAAATTTAAAATGAAATTATACTATATTTGTCCCAAAGAGTCCATGTTAATTTATACCAAATAGCCACTTTTAAATTTTATTTGATTTTGTATTGTGTTCTTTTTTTCTCCCCCTCCCCTCCTGAAATCACAGTATGGTGCATAGTAATGTGTCCTATAGAGCATTAGTCAGTGGATCTTCACAATAACTAAAAAAGGGGGAGAAAGGATATTAAGTATGGAATAACTTATTTCTTGAGTGCTCTTTTTATCTTTGCGCATTAAGGATTGAACCCAACACTGTAGGGCTAATCATTTTAAAAAGCTCTTTTGTGGCCTTTTTAAGGAGAGTATATAATATTTGTGGGTGAACAAACTGAAGATAGGCCAAGAAACACCCATTTATATTAAATCTTAGAATCATAGAATCATAGAATACTAGGACTGGAAGGGACCTCAAGAGGTCATCGAGTCCAGTCCCCCACCCTCATGGCAGGACCAAGCATGGTCTAGACCATCCCTGATAGACATTTATCTAACCTACTCTTAAATATCTCCACAGATGGAGATTCTACAACCTCCCTAGGCAATTTATTCCAGTGATTGACTACCCTGACAGTTAGGAACTTTTTCCTAATGTCCAACCTAAACCTCCCTTGCTGCAGTTTAAGCCCATTGCTTCTTGTTTTGTCCTCAGAGGCCAAGATGAACAAGTTTTCTCCCTCCTCCTTAAGACACCCTTTTAGATACCTGGGAACTGCTGTCATGTCCCCCCTCAATCTTCTCTTTTCTAAACTAAACAAACCCAATTCCTTCAGCCTTCCTTCATAGGTCATGTTCTCTAGACCTTTAATCATTCTTGTTGCTCTTCTCTGGACCCTCTCCAATTTCTCTACATCTTTCTTGAAATGTGGTGCCCAGAACTGGACACAATACTCCGACTGAGGCCTAATCAGCGCAGAGTAGAGCAGAAGAGTGACTTCTCGTGTCTTTCTCACAACACACCTGTTCATGCATCCGAGAATCATGTATGCTTTTTTTGCCACAGCATCACGCTGCTGACTAGTATTCAGCTTGGCTACGTCTACACTGGCATGATTTTCTGGAAATGCTTTCAACAGAAAAGTTTTGCATTAAAAGCATTTTTGGAAAATCTTGTGTTACAACAAGAAGAAAATGCAACACCCCAGAAAGAGGACAGAAAATATGCTTTTTTTTCCTCGTAAAGGTTTGAAAATTTTTCTGTTCTCCACTCCAGTCACTTAGGGTATGTTACCTATAAGTGAATGGGCAGATGTAAGTAATATATAATAGCTAGATTAGACAAAGTGGCCCTTGTGGATATGTCATTTAAGGTTCTTTTGTTGTATTAGAAGCAGCTAATGTTTGGTTTTTTTTCTGTGCTTTAATTGGTTAAAATCCTCCTTTTTGTCATATAACAATCATAATGAGTTATGGTAAGATCTAATTAATGTTATCCATAATTAAATACAGTATATGTATCCATGTAATTGGTATTTGTATCGTTTTGCTCTCTACTACTTGAAGAATTGTTTTGTTGAAATTTATAATTTTATTATCTTTTACTTTAAGAAGTTTTAAATACATTTAAGCATGGCATTGTTTTGTAAAATCATTTCTGAAAATGTTGGGCCCAATCCTGCTTCTAATTTTGCCATAGATTTATGGGGAACTAGGATTTGATTTCATATGGGGCTACGTCTAGACTGCAAGCCTCTTTCGAAAGAGTCTTTTTCGAAAGATACTTTCGAAAAAGCTTCTTTCGAAAAAGATCATCTAGACTGCAATCTCTTCTTTGGAAAAAGTGAGCCGCTTTTTCGAAAGAGAGCACCCAGGCAGTCTGGATGCTCTCTTTCGAAAAAGCCCTGTTTGCATTCAAGAACGCCTTTTTTCGAAAGAACACTTTTGAAAAAAAGATCTTCTTTCTCGTGAAATGAGGAGTGCCGCCGTCGAAAGAAAAGCCGCGTTCTTTCGATTTAATTTTGAAAGATCGCGGCTGTAGTCTAGACGCAGGTGAAGTTTTTTCGAAAAAAGGCTACTTTTTTCGAAAAAGCCCTGCAGTCTAGACACAGCCTATGAGAGAACATAACAGAATAGAAAAGAGTACAACAAAGTTTTGTGATATAACATTTCTCTAATGAAGGAAAAGGAATGCTGTGCTTTTTTTTTTCTTTCACTGAGATACAACATTCAAGTTTTAATAGATAACAGCTGAAAAACAGCTTGCACTATTTCTTTCACGTCACAAAAATTGTCATACCTGTAAAATGTTGCTAACCATATTGATTAGTAGATACTATACTACAGTATTGCCAAGTTGTGTGCCTTGTGATTGCATATTTATGGACTACTCGGATTGCAGTTTCAAAGAGTGTTTCTTACAGAATTGTGACCGCCTTAGGGCCAGATTCTGGCATTCTATGTCGAGTAGCACCTTATTCCACTAATAACCACCACTGAAATCATTGAGAATACATGTTCCTCGTAGTATGCAAGTTTTAATTTATTGGATAAAGTTATGTCCAGAAAATTTTCCTAGACTGGTGAACAGAAAGAGCCATCTGGTGAATTAGGAACATATAAGCAGTAACACAGAAATGCATGTTCTGAATGTATGGACCAGAAGCATTAATATTGTCATCTCACAAAATGTGGTTCTCTGTAGTCTCCCATCAGCCAAAACAAACAGATCAATATATGATCAATATATTTAAACTGAATGTGTGGCTGTGTTTCTCTCTTCCCTTCCCTATCCCTCCCCCTGCACACCCAACTTTGACCTTTCTTTCACACACAGATCAGAACTGAGATCTTTGGTTAAATTTAGATCTTAGGTACAGAGCTGATGTGTACTTTATGTAATATTTATAGTACATATGCATGTAAGATGTATGGCAGTGGATGCTTTGATGACCAAAAGGTAAGCAAACTCTAAGATAGGCTTGTGGGGACTAGAAAGAAAAAAGCTTAATGAGTACATTTTGGAACGATACGAAGTTGTGACCTAAATAACTTTTATTTTAGATTAACTTTCTTTCTTAATATTGTAAACCCTGCAGGTTGCTTAAGATATGGTCTCTGTGGCATTTCACATACTGCTGCATCACTTCAATTTTATGAGAAAAATCTCAAACTTTCAATGGTTTACTTTTTTAAATTAAAGTAAAAATATATAAAAGCAGCTGAGTCTGCTTACTGCAACAGGAGACTAGACAAAATAACTTTTTAAAAGAAAGAAAATTCAAGGTCATAGCTTTTAATGCCTATTTAGCTTCTCCTGCTGCTTTTCCCAATGTTATTATTTTTAGTAAAAATTTTAAAAGTGTATCAATCACTGAAGCCAGGAAAATCTTTAGTAGTACAAAGATAGTTGTTACACAGCAGAAGAGAAACTCTGACCCCATTGAAATCCT